TAGGCCGAAGAGAGGCAAATGTCAAAGTCCTTCAAACACCTAATGACTATCAATGATTTTGGACTCTTCGGGTCCTCCTGGAGGACCTCTTGTAGGCCTCTTGGGTTGTGTTGGGCCGTCTTGGAGGCTTCTTGGGCGAACTTGGAGGTGTCTTGGACTCTCTTGGGCCGTCTTGGAGGCCGTCTTGGACCATCTTGGGCGAACTTTGGAGCCCATCTTGGACCATCTTGGAGGCCATCTTGGGCCAACGTGGCCATCTTGGAGGTCATCTTGAGCCGTCTTGGCGGATTTTTTGTGGACGCTGAGGTGGTTTGCGCGGCCTTCGGGACCCCGGCGGAACGCGCCGAAGCCCCAGGGGGAGTTCTTTTGGAAAAAGAACCGAAACCAAAACCGAAAGGACTCAGCACGCCAGGCACCCCTGCGATGAATCGACAGGGGGCGGCGGATCGAAGACGCCTACGGCAAATCACCTCCGCCCCCTGCCTTTATGGAAGTGCCTATGTGGCCGAACGTTGAGGCCAGACCTGCCAAGCTATCGGACCATGTGTTCCCCGAATCGGTTTGGAAAGCCTTCGGGGAACACGTGGGCATCTTGAAGGTCATCTTGGCCGTCGGGAGGCCAATTGGACCCTTTCGGGCCTTCTTGGAGGACGTCTTGGAGGCCTCTTGGGCTGTCTTGGGGGCCTCCTGGGGGCGTCTTGGGCCTACTGGACGATCTTTGGGGGCACTTGGGCCGACTCGGTCCGTCGGAAGGCCGAAACAAGGCAAATGCCACAATCCTTTAAACAAACTCATGGGAAATCGATGGTTTTGTCCTCTTCTGGCCTTCCTGGAGGCCCTCTTGGAGGCCTCTTGGGCCGTCTTGGGCCAGCTTCGAGCCAACTTCGGCCATCTTGGTGGGTTCCTGGCCCGTCTGACGCTGTCGGGAGCCGTCTTGGGGGCCTCTCTGAACCGACTTCGGGTCCTCTTGGGGCGCTTCGGGGGCCGTCTTGGAGGCCATCTTGGGCGTCTTGGAGGTCTCTTGGGCCGTCTTGGGGCCCGCTTGGGGCCGTCTTGGAGGCCTCTTGGGCCGTCATGGGGCCCTCTTGGAGGCCTGGTGGGCGATTTTGGGGCGATCTTTGCGGCCTCTTGGGCCGTCTTGAGCCGTCGGTAGGCCGAAGAGAGGCACATGTCAAAATCCTTCAAAAACCTAAGGACTATCAATGATTTTGGCCTCTTCGGGCCCTCCTGAAGGACCTCTTGTAGGCCTCTTGGGCCGTCTTGGAGGCCTCTTGGGGGCCTTTTGGGGGCCTCTTGGGCCGTCTTGAGGCCATCTTGGGCCGTCTTGGGTGCATCTTGGGCCGTCTTGGAGGCATCTTGGGGCCATCTTAGCCGTCTTGGAAGCCATCTTGGCCGTCTTGGAAGCACCTTGGAGACCATCTTGGGCCATCTTGGAGCCTTCTGGGGCAGGAAAACCCGTGGCAACCACCTCTGGGCAATCCTTCCGGGTGGCCAGCAGGACGCGCCGGAGTCCCAGGGGGAGTTCTTTGGAAAAAAAACCAAAACCAAAACCGAGAGGATTCGGCATGCCAGGCACCCCAGCGATGAATCGACAGGGGGCGGCGGATCGAAGACGCCTACGGCGAATCATCGCCGCCCCGTGCCTTTTTGGAAGCGCCTATGTGCCCGAACGTTGAGGCCAGACCTGCCAAGCTATCGGACCATGTGTTCCCCGAGTCTGTTTGGAAAGCCTTCGGGGAACACGTGGGCATCTTGAAGGTCATCGTGGCCGGCTGGAGGCCATTTTGACCCTTTCGGGCCTTTTTGGAGGACCGTCTTGGAGGCCATCTTGAGCGTCTTGGAGACCTCTTGGGCCGTCTTGGGGGCCTCTTGGGGCCGTGTCTTGGGCCTCTTGGGCGATCTTTGGGGGCACTTGGGCCGTCCCGGGCCGTCGGAAGGCAGAAAAGAAGCAAATGCCACAGTCCTTCCAAATTTTAGCCTTTTCGGGCCTTCCTGGAGGCCCTCTTGGAGCCCTCTTGGGCCGTCTTGGGCCATCTCAAGGCCATGTTCGGCCGTCTTGGTGGGCTCCTGGTCCGTCTGACGCCGTCGGAAGCCGTTTGGGGGGCCTCTATGGGCCGACTTGGAGCCCTCTTGGAATGCTCCAGGGCCGTCTTGGAGGTCATCTTGGGCGTCTTAAAGGCCTCCTGTGCCGTCTTGGGGGCCTCTTGGGGCCGTCATGGGGCCCTCTTGGGCCGTTCTGGGGCCATCTTGGAGGCCTCTTGAGCGATCTTTCGGCGATCTTTGGGGGCTCTTGGACCGTCTCCGGCCGTCAGAAGGCCGAAAAGAAGCAAGTGTCAAAATCCTTCAACAATCTTGGGAAATCAATGTTTTTGGCCTCTTCTGGCCTTCCTGGAGGCCCTCTTGGGGGCTTCTTGGGCCGTCTTGGGCCAGCTTCGAGCCAACTTCGGCCATCTTGGTGGGTTCCTGGCACGTCTGACGCTGTCGGGAGCTGTCTTGGGGGCCTTTCTGGGCCGACTTGGGGCCCTCTTGGGGCGCCTCGGGGCCGTCTTGGAGGCCATCTTGGGCGTCTTGGAGGCCATCTTGGGCGTGTTGGAGGCCTCTTGGGCCGTCTTGAGGCCGTCTTGGGGCCGTCTTGGAGGCCTCTTGGGCCGTCTTGGGGCCCTCTTGGGCCGTCATGGGGCCCTCTTGGGGGTCTCTTGTGCGATCTTGGGGGCCTCTTGGGCTGTCTTGAGCCGTCGGAATGCCGAGAAGAAGCAACTTCCAAAATTCTTCAAAATCCTTTGCAAAATCAATGATTTTGGCCTCTTCGGGCCCTCCCGGAGGACCTCTTGGAGGCCTCTTGGGCCGTCTTGGAGGCCTCTTCGAGGCCTCTTGGGCCGTCTTGGGCCAGCTTGAGGCCATCTTAGGCCGTCTTGGGTGCATCTTGGGCCGTCTGGGAGGCATCTTGGAGCCATCTTAGCCGTCTTGGAGGCCATCTTGGCCGTCTTGGAAGTACCTTGGAGGCCATCTTGGGCCGTCTTGGAGCCGTCTGGAGCAGGGAAAACCTTTGCAACCAGGTTTTAAGATCCTTCCCGGGACCCCGGCGGGACGCGCCGGAGCCCCAGGAGGAGTTCTTTTGGAAAAAGAACCAAAACCAAAACCGAGAGGATTTGGCACGCCACCAGGCACCCCAGCGATGAATCGACAGGGGGCGGCGGATCGAAGACGCCTGCGGCGAATCACCGCCGCCCCCTGCCTTTTTGGAAGCGCCTATGTGCCCGAGCGTTGAGGCCAGACCTGCCAAGCTATCGGACCATGTGTTCCCCGAATCGGTTTGGAAAGCCTTCGGGGAACACGTGGGCATCTTGAAGGTCATCTGGGCCGTCTGGAGGCCATTTTGACCCTTCCGGGCCTTCTTGGAGGACGTCTTGGAGGGCTCTTGGGCCGTCTGGGAGGCCATCTTGAGCGTTTCCGTCTTGGGGGCCTCTTGGGGCCGTCTTGGGCGATCTTTGGGGGCACTTGGGCCGTCTTGGGCCGTCGGAAGGCCGAACAGGGCCGTCTTGGAGGCATCTTGGGGCCATCTTAGCCGTCTTGGAGGCCATCTTGGCCGTCTTGGATGCATATTGGAGGCCTCTTGTGCCGTCTTGGAGCCGTCCAGAGCAGGGAAAACCTTTGCAACCAGGTTTTGAGATCCTTCCCGGGACCGCGGCGGGACGCGCCGGAGCCCCAGGGGGAGTTCTTTTGGAAAAAGAACCCAAACCAAAACCGAAAGGATCTAGCACGCCAGGCACCCCTGCGATGAATCGACAGGGGGCGGCGGGTCTAATGGCATTCGGCCCGTGCCGCCACCGTGCCTGGGTTGTGGGTCAGAGTTCTCAGGGATGCTTCTTGTGGTCTCTTCGGAGCGCTCTCGGTGGCCTCTTGGGGGCAGTTTTGGGGCCTCTCGGGAGCCTCTTGAGGGCCTCTTGAGGGCCTCTTGAGGGCCTCTTGGGGGCCTCTTGGGGCATCTTGGGGGCCTCTCAGGGGCCTCTTGGCCTCCTGGGGGGCTGAGAGCTCGAAAGGTCCGTTCGGGTTCCCCATCAGGGCCACATTTTGCAGCTGTCCTTTGGCCCTCTTGGGCCGTCTTGGGCGCCTCTTGGGCGCCTCTTGGGCCGTCTTGGGGCCCTCTTGAGCCGTCTTGGGGCCCTCTTCGTGGCCTTGTGGGCCGTGTTAGGGTGATCTTGGGGGCCTTTTTGGGCCGTCTTGGAACGTTGGGAAGCCGAAAAGGCGAGAGCGCCAGCATCTTTCAAACACCTGCGGGAAATTACGGACTTTTGCTTCTTGGTGCCCTCTTAAGAGGCCTCTTGGGGCGTTTTTGAGGCTTCGGGGCCGTCTTGAGGTCGTCTTGGGCGTCTTGGGGCGATCGTTCTGCGACTCGGGGCCCTCTTGGACCGTCTTGGGCGTCTCTTGAGCCTTGCCTCTTTTGGCCCGTCTTGGGCCCTTTCGGCCCGAAAAAGTCACGCGGGGAGATGCGCCAAGCCCACGTCGAGCCGCGACAAGCCTCGAGATACGTGGCAGTTTTGGGCTCCGGGCCTTTGACTAAGGACCAAGGCTTGAGGCTTAGAGGATTAGGCTAAGGATCTGAGGATACGCCCACTCCGTGCCCAGAGGCACTGTGGCAGATTCTCTTGTTCAGCGATCCTGATTGTAGTCGCCATGCATGTAGGACAGGGTTGGGTGCGCTCCTGGGGAATTTTCGGCCTGCGCGCAGCAAGCGATATGCCGGCGCTCCCGCCGTCCCTGTGATCGTGGGGCGCCCGCGCTGTTCGGATTGGGAGGCACAATGTATTTTGTATTCTCTTGAAAGGATTGGTGTGCGAGGAGTTCGAAGAACCGAGGGTCTCGCGGTGCGGTTCGCCAGGGCGTGCCCGGTCACCTGCCGCGGCCTCCGTGTCCGTTGCGGGCCACTTCGGGGATGCATTCTAGCTGCTGTCTGCACAGGGGAGCGTCGTCGCCGTCGTTGCTGGGAGCGCTCATGGCAGGACTCGGTGGAGAAGTCCCTGGAGCGTGCCGCCAGGCTCTGGCGCAGGGAGCAGCAGCTGATGCAGAGCCTGCTCGGGGAGGCGCGCGGCAGGGACATGCGTGCCTCCTTCCTTTTCCGTCCACGGGAGATCGGAAGAGAACGAAAGAGAGAGAGAGAGAGAGACCCTTTCTGCGAACCCCAGCGAGTTTCTTCTGCACGAGATTGCGGCCGATGAGCGCTCTCGATCGAGAGCGGGAGTCAAGCTCGGGGCTGTGAGCACTCCGTGGGCCCCAAACTTTCTCAATGGCCTAAGCCAAAATGACTACAGAAGATCGGAAGAGAACGAAGGATCCATATATATATATATATATATGTACATTTATTTGTTTTTATGTATTTATTTATTTATTTATTTATAGTCGATCATATACACTATGTTTGCCCCCAAACAGTGCTTGCACTTAGGGCTTCGTATTCTGTTCTAAGGAACTGGGTCGTGTCTTCGGTCTGGCGGCTATGTGGCTGCCGTCTTTTCCCGTCGCCGCTTCGTCGCCGTCCGTCGTCTGCGCCGTGTCTTCGGTCTGGCGGCTATGAGGCTGCCGTCGCCGTCCCGTCGCCGCCTCGCCGCCGCCCGTCGTCTGGGCCTTGTCGTCGGTCTGGCGGCTATGTGGCCGTCGTCGCCGCCTCTTCGCCGCCCCGTCGCCGCCCTGGATTGCATAACGTAACTTACACCGCATACGTGGCACCAAAGAGATCGCACCGCACATATTGCATCACATCGATTGCACCACATAGCTTGCACAACATACATTCTCTTTTCTAAAAAGAGAAAAGACAGTACCCCCCCTGGCGTTATCCCCCCCCTTTCGGGTATGTAAATCATGTGTGATTCTGACCACATGTCCATCCTAAATATGAATTTACACTATCCCAGGGGGGCCGGTATCGCCCCCCCTGAGGTTCTCTCGTAAAAAGCAATACGCGGGGACATCTTTTGTTCTAGCATCAGGCTTTTTCACGAATCCCTTGCACAAAATGAGACGAAGTGCACACTCGCGCGTGGTCGCGCGCGCATGCCGAAATCCTTCAAAAACCTTCGGTGTCGGAAGGATTTCGCAATCGAGTTTCCAAAAGCATGCAAAAGCACAGGGTTTCGCAACACTGATTTGCTAAAAAAGCTTACGCGCGAGCTCTTGCGATATCTTAAGCAACCACAGGTTTTCAAGTTTTCACACAATGCTACCAAACGGGCTTCGCGCGCGCGGATGTCGAAATTTGTCGAACGCCCTTGAACGTGTGCCATCGCGAGAATCCTCTGCAAAAAGCGGGACGAAGTGCAGACGCGCGCGTCGTCGCGCGCGTATGCCGAAATCCTTCAAATCCCATCGGCTTCGAAAGGATTTCAACATCGTGTGTCCAAAAAACCTACAAAAAAACAAGGTTTTGCAACACGGATTTTCAGCAAAAGCGTGCGCGCGCGCTCTTGCGTCGTCGTCGTCGTCGTCGTCGTCGTCGTCGTCGTCGCCGTCCTCCCTCCTCCCGCGTCGTCGTCGTCGTCGTCGCCTACGTCGTCCTTTGTCTTTCCTCGTGTTCGTCGTCGTTGTCCTCTTTGGCGTCGTGGTCGTCGTCGTCGTCGTTGTCGCCGTGGTCGTCCTTCCTCCTTCTCCCTCGTCGTCGTCGTCGTCGTCCGTCGTCGGCGTCTCGTCGTCGTCCCTCCTATTTCGTCGCCGTCGTCGTCGTTGTCGTCGTCGTCGTCTTCCCTCCTTCTTCGTCGTTGTCGTCGTCGGCGTCGCCGTCCTTCCTTCTTCGTCGTTTGCGTCGTCGCCGTCCTCCCTCCGCCCTCGTCGTCGTGCTCGTCGTCGTCGTTGTCGTCGTTGTCGCCGTCGCCGTCCTCCCTCCTCCCTCGTCGTCGTCTTCGTTGGCGACGTCGTCGTCGTCTTTGTCGTCGTCGTCGGCGTCGGCGTCGGCCTCGTCTTCGTCGTCGTCGACAGCGGCGTCGTCGTCGTCGACAGCGGCGTCGTCGTCGTC